GGGGGGGCACAGGCCACACTTGACTATCATTCTGTTGGCCTGAACTTGGTGACATCACCCCATTCAGACAGCAGGGAAATGTAGTCCTTTTTCTGGGTGGCCATTCGCCCTTCCAAAAATTAAGGACTCTATCACTGAGATATGGGAGAGAACAAATAGTGGGGGTAAAGCTAGCGGATCTGGCCACAGTGCTCCCCCACCCCAACAATACTTCAAGCCCAGTCCCCCCTTATCGTCCATCCGCTGACTGCTTACTTAGCTGGTCCACTATTATTCTCCAATCCCATATTTCTAACACCAGACTTGTCTATCTCCTTTGACTTCTTCCCACCATAAAATTCCCAGTATAAACTAGTTTTCCACGACAAATATTCCAGGCACAAAGTGGAGAAATTCAAAATTCATTGTGGAACAACTGGGTTCTATTAGATGCCTCCTTATTTCTTGCCTTGCGTTTTGCTATCTCTCAAACCCAGCCCTTCCTTTCTATCCCATTACCAGTCCCTGGTTCATGACCAGATAGCTCTAAGAGTCTGCTAAAGGGTCTCTCTAGCCCGGCTCCTCTATTTTTGTTTTCCTTGCATCATTATTATATTATGATGACCTTAAAACATTATTCTAATCTTTATCCTCAAAAAACTTTAATAGTTTCCTCTGCCTCTAACATAGACCTCAGACTCAAGGCTGTGCCTCATTTGTCTCTCCAGCCTTACCTCTCTCTGCTCTGTTATGCAAATCTCTACTCAGTCAACTGACATCAAGAGTTCTGCTTCTAAACTTTTATTCCGGAGCTGTGAACGGGAGATTCTCTTCCTTTCTCTTCCATCTAATAAAATTCTATTTTCTCTTGTCAAGTTCTACTGCCTCTAGAAGTTTCTTTAACCAGTAAGGCTCAACATGACCTCTCCCCTTGAATTCCTACTGAAAGTACCTGTCTATTCTCTTTGTTTGAATTTATCATTTGCCCTCTTTAGTGTTAATGACAGTTACAAACATGACTGTTATACACATAACATGTGTCTTATTTGCCTAACAAGATATTAAACTCCAAAGAACCTGTCTTTGTCATAGATTAGCATCTTACATTTTATGTTAAATCCTCAAGACATTTTTGTGAGTGGGAGCAATACTAGGAATGGAACCCAGGACCTTGCCCATGCTGGGTAACTGCTCTACCACTGAGCTACACCTCTCCTCCTCTCTCAAGACATTACTGTGCCACAAGTTTTCTCTGAAATTGAGTTTTGCTAAGATGCCTTCCGGTAATCATGTAATATTTGAATTCCTTTAGCGCCTAGAAAAAGAAATATTGAAATTGATTAATATGGAGATTCTCTTTTAAAACCTTCTGAAGTATTTTAAGAGCAAAATGAAGTCCACCAAGAGTATCTAAAAACTGGGTGACACATGCCTGTAATCCCAGGAATTTGGGGAAGTGAAACAGAAAATTCACAAATTCAAAGCCAGCTTGGGCAATTTAGCAAGAGTCTATTTCAAAATAAAAAGGGTTGGGGATTATTTCAGGGGTAGAGCATCCCTGAATATAATCCCCAGTATCACAAAAGAAAAAAGAGTACCTAAAAACCACCCCTCCTTTACTTGAATTATTCCTTAAAAATGTCTTTTAAAGGAGACAAAATGTCTTTTAAAAATGTCTTTTAAAGCTATGGTGGTGCATGACTGTAATACCAGCAACTCAGGAGGCTGAAGTAGGAGGATCACAAATCAGAGGTCAGCAACTTAGTGAGGCTTATCTCAAAAACTAGAAAGGACTGGGGATATAGCTCAGTGATATAGTGCTTCTTGATTAAAAAAAGAAGAAGACTTTAAAAGGGCTCCTATGTCCTTGGCATCACCAAAGATGCCATAGGGATGGCCTATGGAAGCTGTAAAGGGCATAATGCAATTGATCCTTACCAATCCCCCAAATAACCAGTGCCAGTTTTGCCTTGATGGTTAACAAAGCATGTCATCATTTGCTGCTAAGCAGATAGTGGCCAATATAGTTATTACTTTCATCCTGGCTAATGAAATACACTCAGAAACATTTTGTCACTTTATTAAGGTCACCCCGTTCATAAATAAAAAGTACTGGCGCCTACATCTTCTGCCTTCCTGTCATTCCACTACATGGGTTTTCCAGCTACTTAGAGCACAATTGGGAACGTTTAAAGGTGGCAGAACCTTTATCCTATGACTGTGGACGCTTTGCCTTTTCTCACCAAGCAGGGAGTTGGCATCAACAGCACCAGAAGCACAAAGAGTAGCAGGACTTCCTCCGGCTTGGTCTCCCCTCCACCCCCGCTGCCCGATTGCCCTTTGATAACCCAGCATCACTTCCTGAATGACTTGCTATGGAGAGCAGGCACACTCTTCAAACTGTACCACCCACCCATCCCTTGTGGCTTCCCAACTGCCCTGATACCAAGAAGCTCTCAGTCTTAGCAAAGTGCCTCCCCAGGGCTAGGGTTTAAGAACCCACAAGAACTGCAAGTCTCAGGTCTTGTTCACTTCATTTGACCTAACTCAAATCCAGAGTGGAATGACGGTTAGACACTTGAGCCTAAATTTTATAAAACCTTGAGACATGGAAGATGCAGGAGCAAGATTGGCTCTAAAATTCACGGGACCTAATGCAAAGTGAAAACATGGGGCCCTTTGGAATCGCTGCAATGAACCAAGTTCAGGGTCCTTCTAGGCTCAACTGCACAGATCCCATGCCAATAACTGGGACATCCAAGAATTCAGGCTGGGACACTCAAGTGCCCCACTACCAGACCTCATCAGCCCAGTAGAACAGTTTACCTGGAGAGAGTTCAGGTTCAAAGATTTTGGCAAAATATGCAATTACCGAAGGCAGCATTAACCGAAATTTCTGTCCCCTCAATGATTCGTTCCTATTGCTGTTTCTGTTTGGCACTCACCATTGTATTTTTTCATTATTAATCTTTGAGCTTCAAGCCCCTTAGTGCTACAGTGATAGTCTGCTTAGCCCGGTGTTTCTAACTCAGCATCTGGCACATGGTTTAGCACTTAATAAATCTTTGTCTCCTCTCCCATCTCAGGGCCTGGTAACATCTCCTCTGGGCTTAGCCTGCTTGCTCCAACTAACACAGCAGACCTTGCCTGGGATATTTCTCCTTAGGGAGAATCTCCCTTGATCTGAAAGGACAGAGGTTTCTATGAGCAGCCCTGGGGCTTTTGCAGTGCTTACTGAGCTGAAGACAAGGGTAACTAACCATAGTGACTTTGCACCAACAGGTTAAGAAAGCCCTTTATTCCTGTGACACTTCCAAGTGACTTGTATTCTCAATAGCCCTTATTCTTGCCCTCTCTATGCCAAGACCTATATAAATTTTAGGGTCAGCATGAACCTACATATGGGGGAAACACATTCTGGAAGTACCCATCAGAACAGTCCAAATAGCTGTTTGTGATTGACACCTTTCTGGTTTGGCTGCGCCTGTCCAATCAGTTTTGAAGTAATTTGAGGGCTTGGGGGTATAGCTCGGGAAAGTACACTTGTCTAGCATGCACCAGGCCTTGCAGCACAAAAATAAATGATTCCCAGCACCACACACAAAAAAAATTTAAAAAACAACCTCAGAGAATAACATTATAATAAAAGGTGAGAAAATAATACCTTATAATTATATTGCCTCTAATTTTACAGTTACGTATTCAATCAGTTTATCTTCACAAGGTGATGGAGGAGAGAAGAAAAGGAGATTAAATTTTTCACTTTTCCCACATTACATTTAAGAGTAGATACCCTTCGGCTTTCACTAGGAAATGTTCCCTGGATTCCCAAGATAGATCAAGTCCCCTTACTCTTCTCCTTCAAAGCATATCATTGCATATTTTTTATCTGTCTCTTTGTCTGTGGGTTATCTGATCGACATTGGTAAGTGAAGCAGGCACTGTATCTCTTCTCACTCACCATTCTACACCCAGCTCCTTGTATCATGCTTAAGGAGTAAATGCCCAAAAAACATTTGTATCGTAAATCAAATTAATAAGTATCTGTCAAAGTGTCTGAAACAAAACTAACCCTGAATAAAGACATGCATTCATTCATAAAAGGATGAATGAAGAAGTGATCTTTGCTTACTTCACAAGCTGGTCCAAGAAAGTCTAGACAACACGTGAATGAGTTCAAACTCATTCCATAAATATTTTCTAAGCAACCCCTTATGCATCAGGTATTCTAGAGAATGAGGATATAGAAGTGACCCAAAAAGACACCCCAAGAAAAATCGTCAACTAGGGGAATAATTTCTCCAGAGCCTCTGAAGCACTCTCCAGAGCCTCTGTCACAGAAATGAAGGGCTTTCTTAACCAGATGGTGCAAAGTCACTATGGTTACCCTTATCTTCGGCCTATATCTTCCATGAAGAGAAGCAAAACATGTAACCTGTTTTTTTACAAATACCACAGAAAAAGAAAAAGCAGTGACCCAAGAGTCCATCAGCCCAGATATTCTAGATCTTGTCCCACAAGCTCTTCCACTACTTGGCAATATGATCTTGAGAAAGAAGTACACTTGGTATATCTTGGACCTCAGGGAGATTTGTGGTCTTCATCTCTCAAATTGCCTTCTAACTTTCAGAAAGTGTACACTAGGTAAACATGTTTTAATAAAACGGATCTCTACAACTTCACTGAGAAACTAAATTTTAAGTGAGACTCCTTTAGAAAATATAGTTGTCATAACATTAAATATACTACAATAAAGTGCTAAAGACAGTGTCAAGAAACGGGTTGAGCTGGGAGATTATAGGCTGAGAAGACAAGGAACTGGATGGTGCCCAGAGTCAGATGTTACAGTTTTCTGTTTGTCCTCAGGGCTGGAAGCAGCTGGAAATGATGCAGCCTTGATGGTGGTGAATGGAATTCTGGGGGAGTCGGCTACTTTTCCCTTAAATATTCAAGAATCACAGCAACTCTCCAGCATTGCGTGGACTTCTAAAACATCTGTTGCTTTTATGACACCAGGAGACCCAGGAACAGCACCCACAGTTGTCACGACCCACATAAATTATTATGAACGAATAGAAGTCACAGATCACAGCTACAATCTGATCATTAATGATCTGAGGATGGAAGATGCAGGAGTCTACCGAGCAGACATCAACACAAAGAACTCTCCCTACACCACCACCAAAAGCTACCACCTTCAGGTCTACCGTGAGTTGTGGGAGGAAGGAGGGCTGGGTTCCTACTTTTGTTTTGTTGTCTAAAGGACATCTGGTTGGACCTAGTGGTGCACTCCTGTCATCCCAGCTACTCTGGAGGCTGAGGCAGGAGGATCCCAAGTTCAAAGCCAGCCTGGGCAAGTTGGACCCGGTCTCAAAATAAAAAGGGCTGGGGATGGAGCTCAGTGGTAGAGCACTTGCTCGGCATGTGCAAAGTCCTGGGTTCAATTTCCGGTACTGTAAGTCATTGTCATCACAGCCATCACATGTAACTTCATGTAAACAAACACCACCACAAGCAAAATAGTTAAATGTGCCATCCCAGGATTCCCTTGAGCTTCCTGGACAACCTATGACCTCCCTCTTTCTGCTCCTAAACTACTAACCCCTGGAGAGGGCTAATTTGCTCATATCTATAACCATGTTACTCCACAGATGTTATGTAGATGGACTCCTGCCATGTGAATATATCTTTCTGAGACTTGTTTTCCATTTGGCATAATTTCTTTGAGATTTACCCAAACTATTGTATGTATCAATCCCATGGTGCAAGCACAGTAGTTCATTTAACCCTTCACCTGCCGAAGGACATTTTAATTGTTTTCACCTTGGTGCTATTCTAAATAAGGCTGTTTATAAGATTTATAACATTTGGGTACAAGTCTCTTTAGGAGATAAATTTTCACTTCTGTGGAATAAATGTCTAAGGATGAAATTAGATGCGAAATGCATTTTCAGTTTTAAAAGAAACTGCCAAACTATTTTACATTTTAGGTATATCCCCCTGGGAATGTATAAGGGGTCCAATTGCTCGGCATCCTCACCAGCCTTTGGCGGTAGCATTATTTTTTTTAATTTTGGCCATTCTAATGAGTGTGTAGTGATATCTCATTTCACTTCATTTGAATTTCTCTAGTAGCTAATGATAATTTTTTTAAATTTTTTAATGGTTTTCTCCACATTTTTATTGGTGCCTTATGGTTGTACCTAATGATGAGATTTACTATTACATATTCATACATGCATGCAACTTGCAAAGTTCTTTTTAAAGGTAAAATATCAGAACTACTTATTATCGTCATTATAACTGGCATGATGTGTCACACACTATTATCCAAAATATGGTCTCTAGCCTGGCAATATCACCTGGAAGTTTTTTGAAGATGAAGATTCTCAGGTCTCACTTCCAACGTTTGGTGGTAGAGTCCAGGAATCTCACACTTTGGATTGTTCCTATGTGGCTGAAGTTTAAGAAGCACTGATCTAGACTCACCTTGTCCAATATGGTAGCCATCAGGCACATGTGTCTCTTGAGCAGCTGAAATGTAATGAGTCCAAAATGAGATGGCAGTGAGTGTAAAATACACATCAGATTTTGAAGTGTTGGCACCAAGAGCAGAGTATAAAAAAACTCATTAATGATTTTCACATTGGTTACAAGTGAAAGTGATATATTGGATAGTAGCTTAGATAAAATGCATTACTAAAATTAATGTTACCTGTTTATTTTTACTATTTTAATGTGGATATTAAAAACTTAAAATTATCCATCACCTACCAAAGAAAATTCTAGTTGTCCTTAAATATATGTGCAAATTAAAATATATACAATATATTAACATATATATTTTTGTACTGGGGTTAAGCCTATGGGTGTTCTACACTGAGCTACATCTCAACCTTTTTTTATTTTGATACAGGGTCTCACTAAGTTTCTCAGGTTGCCCTTGGACTTGTAATCTTCCTGCCTCAGCCTCCCAACTCTTGGGATTACAAGGATGGTAGGCACGTGCCACAGCACTCAGCCGTACTTTTTTTAAAGATTCTTTTTAATATTTATTTTTTAGTTTTAGTTGGACACAATACCTTTAGTTTGTTTATTTTTATGTGGTGCTGAGGATCAAACCCAGAGCCACGCATGTGTTAGGCAAGCACTCTACCGCTGAGCCACGACCCCAGCCCTCAGCCATAATTTAATTTTTAATAATACTATATTTAACAATCATCTTGAAAACTTAACCATTGGTTCTCATCAGCGGGCATCAACCAGCTCCTGCTCACCATGAGTTCACGCATTTTCCCCCTCACAGGTCGGCTTGAGAAACCAAAAATCACGCAGAGTTTCATGACATCTGCGAATAGCACCTGTAATGTCACCCTGACGTGTTCTGTGGAGAAAGAAGAGAAGAATGTGACATACAGCTGGAGCCCTCTGGGAGAAGAGGGCAATGTCCTTCAGATCTTCCAGACCCCTCAGGACCAAGAGCTGAACTACACGTGCACCGCCTGGAACCCCGTCAGCAACAGTTCCGACTCCATCTCCGCCCAGCAGCTCTGTGCAGGTAACCAGCTCTGACTTTGTTCCTGATGAATCTCAGAAATCCCTCGGAAGATCTTCAGGGTCTGAACTTGCTCTCACCCCTAGGGGAATGGGCCTCCTTCAGGCTGAACCTGGTCTCTAGGAACATCTCTTCCCAGGAAGCCTGCTGAGAAATTGGCCAAAGCTTTTTTCAAGATGCTAAGCATTCAGGCTTGTTCTGAGGCAAACCTGAGCATCTCTGATTCAATTCCTGATTTTTTAATGGGAGAAGGTATGGGATGGAGCTTTAGCACTCCTTGGGGGGTGCACCCAATTTTTTCTTTCTTCTTTTTTTTTTCTTTTTGCATTTCTGGGGGTTGAACCCCAAGGGGCCTCTCCCACTGAGCTGCATCCCCAGCCCTTTTTGTTTTTTATTTTGAGATAGGGCCTCTCTCTGTTGCTCAGACTGGCCTCAAACTTGTGATCAGGAGGATCGACCTCCTGAACTGCTGGGGTTACAGGTGTGCACCACCAGGCCCCGCTGAGGACACCCAGTTTTGAGAGTGGCCCTGAATGTGGACAAGGCTGCCAAGAGTCGCGTGCTTATTTCCTGAGAGTCCAGACTCACTGAAGCGTCCATTTCCAGACGCTGCAACCAGCTCCCGTCCTCGCCACGCCGGGATGCTGAGCGGGCTGGCTGTGCTCTTTCTGCTGGTTCTCATCCTGCCTTCAGTGTTTCTCCTCCGTCTGTGCAAGAGAAGGCAAGGTAGGCTTCTCCCCGACGGTGAAATGTGAAGATGGACCTTCTTCCCTCCAGGAACTGAAGTCATTTACCCAAGGTGGAGTGGAGAGTATCAGGAGCGGCTTCTTCTTCTGCCCAGAGGAGTCCAAGCCATCCTAAAATCTTAACATCTCAAATAATTAACAAATAACAAAACACAGACACTGAGAAATATATTTAAAAATAAGCTCCTGATAGATCTAGTCCACATGGGTTCTTGAACTAAACAAAGAGAAAATGGCTTAGGTGGTTCATTTCAGGGGGTCCATCAAAGGCAGGGATAAGGATTCAGGGGCGGAGTCCTGCTTCCTGATGTCTTGCGGTCAGCAGGTTGATTGACATTTTGCAAGTCACATCCATCTCGGGTGCTGAGTGGGCCCACATCAGAGCAGGAAAGATATTCACACTGTCCCTGAGCAATTGATCAGAGGAAATGTCCACTGGCCATTCCCAGACACCAGATGTCTCTATCCACGAGGCTTCCATGCACAGTGACCCACATGCAACCCATGAACGGCTCGTGACAGGAAAGGCCCATTTTTCTAACCTTCCTACAATCCCCACCCCACCACCTCACCACCTCCCAGGATGATGGCCCTGGGGACCGTAGGAGGTTACCCTGAGCAGTCCTCAGAATCTGTTCTTGGGATCGCCAGTATCTGGTGAGTCTAGGACTTGGGTTTGAGTTCAGCATTGCCGGTAACCAGTCATGCTTCCTTGTACTAGTGTGTTCACTTCAGACTCAATGTCCTCACTGGCGAAATGTCTGAACCGCAGAGTCTCCGGGGTCCCTTCTAATATCATCGTATTTTGATAATGACCTTTGGAGAGTCTATGAGGGATATGTACTAATTGGTGAGAAAGAAGAAAGGAAAGAAAGAGGGGGAGAGGGAGGAAGAAAGGAAGGAGAAATAGAGGAAAGAAGGAGAGGAGAAGGGGAAGGTAGGAGGGAGGGAGGGAGGGATGGAAGGAGGGAGGAAACGAGGGAGGGAGAGAGGAGGGAGAAAGGAAACCTGATTTTAAGTCCCTAAGAGGGTTTACACTGCCCCATTCCCCTTAACCCCAGGTCCATCTAAGATCTTCGTTTCTCACCAATCACAATAAACAATATGGAACCTCTGTTTCCATTTCTAACTCTCCCTTGTTTCTGCTTCCTCAGGTTCTTACTTGACACCCTTCACTAGGAACTCTGGTTCTCAACCCTGTGTTTCCTGAATAACAACTGGGAGGGAGGGAAGTTCTCCACACAGTGATTAAGACTAAGCATCTGTTGGGCCGTCAGTCTGAGGGTGAATGCCCAACTGGATCACATATCAGCTACCAGTTATTTTATCATCGTAAGCTTCAGTTTTCTCAGCTGTAAAATATTCATAATAATAATAATACAGCTTGCTGCACGTGCTTATTAAGTGGAGTATATGAAATGCTTGGCCCGGTACGTAGTAAATACTCAGTAAATGTCAGCTACTCTCTTTGTAATTGAAGGGTATTGACAGTGTGGGTACAGAGGAGGCATTCCAGGGAAGGGAGTTTTGACAGGCATCATAACTTAAATACCCTCCTAAAGGGGGGAAATCACAGGCTGCTCAGACTGTAGGTGATCTGCAAGGTCCCTCAAGAGATATCTGTCTTTGATCCCTCACAACCTCTTGGGGAAACAGAGGGGCTATTTTTCATGTTTACAAATGAGATAAGAGACAGCACTCAGTCTGGGTCCCTCACCACGTCTGGAGCAGGAACTGAGACAGGACCAAACTCTGAAATGCTGGAGCTGTGATACTGCTCAGCTCAGACCCATTACTTGTGGATATGCTGGTGCCCTGGAATAGGAGGGCCCCAAAATCTGGCATGCGCGTGTAAGCATGCACCTGAGCGCTCGCTCTCTCTCTCTCTCTCTTCTCTCTCTCTCTCTCTCTCTCTCTCTCTCTCT